CATTAGCTGTTGTTATTTCCTGGAGATTCTTCTGAGGGGAATTCTTCCGCTTGGTCATTTTGGATAGTCCCTGGCGTGGTGAGGACCTGCAGGGCACTTCCCCTGTGCTGTGGTGTATAACTGGAGTTGGTGGGCAGAGCCGCAGTCAGACCTGATGTCTGCCCCCAGCCCACCGCTGGGGCCACAGTCAGACTGGTGTGTGCCTTCTCTTCCCCTCTCCTAGGGGCGGGATTCACTGTGGGGTGGGGTGGCCTGTCTGGGCTACTTGCACACTGCCAGGCTTGTGATGCTGGGGATCTGGCGTCTTAGCTGGGGTGGGTAGGCAAGGTGCACAGGGGCAGGAGGGGCAGGCTTAGCTTGCTTCTCCTTAGGTGATCCACTTCAGGAGGGGCCCTGTGGCAGCAAGAGGGAGTCAGATCCGCTGCCGGAGGTTTGGCTCCGCAGAAGCGCAGAGTTGGGTGTTTGTGCAGAGCGAGCAAGTTCCCTGGCAGGAACTGGTTCTCTTTGGGATTTTGGCTGGGGGATGGGCGGGGGAGATGGCACTGGCGAGCGCCTTTGTTCCCCACCAAACTGAGCTCTGTCGTCCGGGGGCTCAGCAGCTCTCCTTCCCTTTGTCCTCCAGCCTTCCCGCTTTCTGAGCAGAGCTGTTAACTTATGACCTCCCAGACACTAAGTCGCGCTTGCTGTCAGAACACAGTCCGTCAGGCCCCTCAGATTTTGCAAGCCAGGCTCGGGGGCTCTGCTTGGCCGGCGAGCCGCCCCTCCGCCCCGGCTCCCTCCCGCCATTCCGTGGAGCGCGCACCGCCTCGCCACCCTTCCTACCCTCTTCCGTGGGCCTCTCATCTGTGCTTGGCTCCGGCGACTCCGTTCTGCTAATCCTCTGGTGGTTTTCTGGGTTATTTAGGCAGGTGTAGGTGGAATCTAAGTGATCAGCAGGACGCGCGGTGAGCCCAGCGTCCTCCTACGCCGCCATCTTCCCTCTCTCTCTGGAGTATTTACTTTAAATGTTAGTGTTAAAATGTTACATTTTCCCTAGTTACATTTGCCATAAATGGAGAGCTGTACTTGGTTTTGTTTTGGGTTTTTTTGTCAAAGAAAGAAAATCTGAAGCATTTCTAACAAATTCCTAACAAATACCTAATGTGTAATAATCATATAATTTTACTATGTTTGCAGGAATCTTCAATGTGGGAGACTAATTTGTACTTACCCTACACGAATTCCTTTTCGCAAAGAAAATGGCGCTGTGATTTATGCTTTTGTACGAAATAATTTATGTATAACCATAGACTACAGATTGCCTAATGCAAATCAAGATCCAATGAAAGTCTCCAATGGTTCTCACTGTGATGAAGGGAGGGTAAATGATTTAAAATCTATTTTTTAAATCTAGTTTTATTAATTTATTTAATATTTTCATTTAAGTATCAAATTTCAGTTCATTTCTATGTAACTTTAAATATTTGGATAAGGAGAAAATGAATAAGCTTCATTTTGTCTCCAGATATTAAGAGGGCAATAGGAATGTTTGATCTTCTTCAGAATTTCGGTACTGTGACCAAGGGAAACTCCCAAGTGTTTTGGAACTGGAGTGTGAGGAGAGCTATCTTGTGACTATGTTAAGTACTCCATTGCATGGAAATTCACTTTTCTTCTTAGAGAAGAAAGAAGAAATCCCCCTTAGTAATATATGTCTCTTCGTAGCCCAGTAGATAAGAGCACCACTTAGATCAGGCTTCTTAGAATCGATTCTTCAAAACTTCTTATTTTTTGACATTCTGCAGGTAACCTAACCAGTCTGAGATGCCACAACTGGATGTAAGGTGGTGATAGTAATAGCATTTACTCTATGGGGTTATTGCAAAGATTAAATGAGATTTCTGGCACATAGAGCTAAATGTAGATTGGCTATTATTATTGATTATTATAATTAACTATGTTTGAGGCTAACCCAAATCTGGAGAAAACATAGGAGGAATAAACTTACTTGAACATTTCATTTACTTCCTGGCCAGATCTTTGCTTATGAGGAATGATAATCTAGTGTAGGCCTTAAATGCCTCCTTAAAGGATGTATATACCAAGGAGCTCAGTAGCTATATTTTGGCTTTGGAGCCAAGACAACTAAAAAATGAAACATAGTCAACAAATGATTTGATATTATTCAGTCGATAATTTAGTAAGAATAGAATCCATTTTATAACATGGACAGTTCTTCTCAGTGTTAATGTATGAAAACACATTTTACCAGATAGTTTTTAATGATATTATAAATCACATTGATGAAACCTTCTTGGCAACTTTTTTTGGTCAGTAGCATCCTAATATAACAGGACTCTTCATCTCAGTTTCAACTGAGGCAGGCATGCAATAGATACTACACTCAAAGGGAGTTTTAGACACACCATCAAGGCCAAGAACTAATGAGAAAACTCAACACAGTGAAGGTTTAAAAGAATTGTTAGTTTGTTTGCATTTAGAAAGTGTTTTGTGAGGCTATTTTTTTTTTAAGTCAGACACTCAACTGAGTGAGCCACCCAGATACCCCTAAAACTATTTTTTTGAAGAGCTGTACTGTGCTTTAACGTTTAAAAGGAAATCATTTTCACATACTACATCCCATTTTAACTTCAAAACAAATCTCAATGCTTTAGAAAAAGTATGATTTGTACTCAGATAAGAAAACTGTATCTTAGGGTAGTTGATATTGCTGTAAATACTGGAGTTGGTAATGTATCCTTAATCCTCTGATTAATACACTTTAAACTTAGAATGATTATATCTGGATGTTTCATACATTCCATAATATAATTTAGATATGTATAGCATATTTTAATAAAAATTGCTATCAACTTTATTAGAGAATTCTAATAATAATTCATATTTGAGGAAAATTTACTATATGTCCTGATGATTTTCTTTCGATGCAAACTTTTGATATATGCGACAAATACAGCATATTATTTTAACTGTGCTCTTAGGAATAGTTTTGTTAGATTTCAGGGTATTATAAGTGGTTATGTGAACATGATTTTTTTTGGTCTTATTTGTATCTGTCACTTCCCTACATTGAATTATTTTTTTAGCTAATTTTTAAAAATGTTTATTTATTTTTGAGAGAGAGGAGAGAGAGAGAGAGAGAGAGAGAGAGAGAACATGAGTGGGGGATGGGCAGAGAGAGGGAGACAGAGGATCTGAAGAGGGCTCTGCACTGGCAGCAGTGAGCCTGATGTGGACTCGAACCCACAAACTATGAGATCATGCCCTTAGTTGAAGTCAGACAATCAACAGCCTAAGCTATCCAGACTCCCCTAAAACGAATTTTTTTAGAGCAGTTTTAGGCCCACAGCAAAACTGAAAGGAAGGTACAGAGTTCCCATATACTCCCTTGGTCTCACATAAGCGTAAGACTATTATCAACATCTCCCACTAGAGTGGTACATTTGATACAATTGGTGAGCTTGCATTGACACATCATTATCACCCAGTCCATAATTTACATTAGATTTATCTGAAAAATTGCAAAATACTTGGAGATTAAACAACACATTTTTAAATGTGCTAAAGGAGAAATTTTAAGACAATTTGAAAAATATTTTGAACTAATTGAAAATGAAAACACAACATAAAAATTTGCAGGTTACAGCAAAAGCAATACTTAGATGGAAATTTATTACATTGAACACTTATGGTCTTATGGTATAAAATTACTTTTTTTTTATTTTTTTTTCAACGTTTATTTATTTTTGGGACAGAGAGAGACAGAGCATGAACGGGGGAGAGGCAGAGAGAGAGGGAGACACAGAATCGGAAACAGGCTCCAGGCTCTGAGCCATCAGCCCAGAGTCTGATGCGGGGCTCGAACTCACCGACCGCGAGATCGTGACCTGGCTGAAGTCGGACGCTTAACCGACTGCGCCACCCAGGCGCCCCTAAAATTACTGACTTTTATGTCAAGGCAGCTGGACTCCTTTAACATGGAAAAAAGATTTTTTTTCTTTTTTTAGATCTGTGTAAATGGTGAATGTGTAGAATCAAGAATAATTAAGTCTGAATCATCTGTCTGTTCAAAAAAGTGCAACGGACATGGAGTAAGTAAGCACAAAATTTGTTTCCCCAAATTACATCTATTTGAACACTTTAAAAAATTAATTAATTAACTAATTTTTAAATTTACATCCAAGTTAGCATATAGTGCAACAATGATTTCAGGAGTATATTCCTTAATACCCTTAGCCCATCCCCCCTCCCAAAACCCTTCCAGCAAGCCTCTGTTTGTTCTCTATATTTAAGAGTCTTGTTTTGTCCCCCTCACTATTTTTATATTATTTTTGCTTCCTTTCCCTTATGTTCACCTGTTTTGTATCTTAAATTTCACATGTGAGCTAAGTCATATGATATTTGTCTATCTCTGATTGACTAATTTCACTTAGCATAATACCGTCCAGTTCCATCCACATAGTTGCAAATGACAAGATTTCATTCTTTTTGATTGCCGAGTATACATACACCATTGTATACATTCACCACTTCTTCTTTATCCATTCATCTATCGATGGACATTTGGGTTTTTTCCATACTTTGGCTATTGTTGATAATGCTGCTACAAACATTGGGTGTAAATGCCCCTTCAAAACAGCACACCTATATCCATTGGATAAATACCTAGTAGTGCAATTGCTGGCTCGTGGGGTAGTTCTATTTTTAATTTTTTGAGGAACCTCCATACTGTTTTCCAGAGTGACTGCACAAGTTTGCTTTCCCAGTGCTTTTGCAGAACAAAAGAGATCCTCTTTCTCTGCATCCTTGCCAACATCTGTTGTGTCCTGAGTTGTTAATGTTAGTCATTCTGACAGATGTGAGGTGGTACCTCATTGCGGTTTTGGTTTGTATTTCCTTGCCGATGAGTGATGCTGAGCATCTTTTCATGTGTCTGTTTGCCAACTGGATGCCTTCTTTGGAAAAGTGCCTATTACTGTCTTTTGCCCATTTATTCACTAGATTATTTGGTTTTTGGGTGTTGAGTTTGATAAGTTCTTTATAGATTTTGGATACTAACCCTTTATCTGATATGTCATTTGCACATATCTTCTCCCATTCCATCGGTTGCTTTTTAGTTTTGCTGATTGTTTCCTTCACTGTGCAGAAGTTTTTTATCTTGATGAGATCCCAGTTTGGCTATTCAGGGTATTTTGTGGTTCCATGCAAATTTTAGGATTGTTTGCTCTAGCTTTGAGAAGAATGCTGGTGCAATTTTGACTGGGATTGAATTGAATGTGTAAATTGCTTTGGGTAGTATTGACATTTTAACAATATTTGTTTTTCCAGTCCATGAGTATGGAATGTTTTTCCATTTCTTTGTGTATTCTTCAATTTCCTTTATAAGTTTTCCATAGTCTTCAGCATACAAATCTTTTACAACTTTGGTTAGGTTTATTCCAAGGCATTTTATGCTTCTTGGTGCAGTTATAAATGGTATCAATTTCTTGATTTCTCTTCTGTTGCTAGATTATTGGTGTACATAAATGCTATTTGCATTTATGGTGTGTACATTGATTTTGTGTCCTGCGACTTTGCTGAAGTCATGTATCAGTTCTAGCAGCTTCTTGGTGGAATCTTTCGGGATTTCCATGTAGAGTATCATGTCGTCTGTGAAAAGTGAAAGTTTGACTTCTTTGCCAATTTGGATGCCTTTTATTTCATTTTGTTGTCTGATTGTAGAGGCTAGGACTTCCAACAGTATATTAAACAACAGTGGTGAGAGTGGACATTCCTGCTGATTCCTGATCTCAGGGGGTAAGCTCTCAGTTTTTCTCCCTTGAGGATGATATTAGCTGTGGACTTTTCATATTTGGCTTTTATGATGTTAAGGTATGTTCCTCCTATCCCAGCTTCTTGAGGATTTTTATTAAGAAAGGATGCTATATTTTGTCAAATGCTTTTTCTGCATCTATTGACAGGATCATATGGTTCTTATCCTTTCTTCTCTTAATGTGATGTATCACACTGATTGATTTGTGAATATTGAACCAGCCCTGTATACCAGGAATGAATCCCACTTTATTGTGTTGAATAATTCTTTGGATATACTGTTGAATTCAATTTGTTAGTGTCTTGTTGAGAATTTTTGCATCCATGTTCATCGGGAATATTGGCCTGTAATTCTCCTTTTTAGGGGGTTCTCTGTCTGGTTTGGGAATCAAGGTGATGCTGGCTTGATAGAATGAGTCTGGAAGCTTTCCTTCCATTTCTACTTTTTGGGACAGCTCTCAAGCTGTCAAGGATAGGTATTTTTTTTTTCAATGTTTATTTATTTTGGGGACAGAGAGAGGCAGAGCATGAACGGGCGAGGGGCAGAGAGAGAGGGAGACACAGAATCGAAAACAGGCTCCAGGCTCTGAGCCATCAGCCCAGAGCCCGACGCGGGGCTCGAACTCACGGAGCGCGAGATCGTGACCTGGCTGAAGTCGGACGCTTAACCAACTGCGCCACCCAGGCGCCCCAAGGATAGGTATTAACTCTGCTTTAAATGTCTGGTAGAATTCCCCTGGGAAGCCATCTGGCCCAGGAGTCTTATTTGCTGGGAGATTTTTGATAACTGATTCAATTTCTTTGTTGGTTATGGGCCTGTTCAAATTTTCTGTTTCTTCCCCTCTGAGTTTTGTTAGTGTGTGGGTGTCTAGGAATTTGTCCATTTCCTCCATGTTGTCCAGTTTGTTGGAATATAACTTTTATAGTATTCTATGATAATTGTTTGTATTTCTATGATGTTGGTTGTGATCTGTCCTCTTTCATTCATGATTTTATCTATTTGGGTCCTCTCTCTTTTTGAGGAGTCTGGCTAGGGGTTTATCAATTTTATTTTTTCAAAAACCAGCTCTAAGATTCATTGATATATTCTATTTTTGGGGGATTTTATATTGTTTATTTCTGCTCTAATATTTATTATTTCTCTTCTTCTGCTGGCTTTGAGGTTTCTTTGCTGTTCTTCTAGTTCCTTTAGGTGTCCTGTTAGATTTTGTATTGGGGATTTTTCTTGTTTCTTGAGATAGGCCTGGACTACAGTGTACTTTCCTCTTAGGACTGCCTTTCCTGCATCCCAAAGGGTTTGGACTGTCCTGTTTTCATTTTCATTTGCTTCCATATATTTTTTAATTTCTTCTTTAATTGCCTGGTTGAGTCATTCTTTCTTTAGTAGGATGTTCTTTAACCTCCATGCATTTGGAGGCTTTCCAAATTTTCTCTTATTGATTTCAAGTTTCATGACATTGTGATCAGAACAACATATGATCTTATCTCTTTTATATTTATTGAGGGCTGTTTTGTGACCAAGTACATGATTCTATTTTGGAGAATGTTCCATGTGCATGTGAAAAGAATGTGTATTCTGCTGCTTTTGGATGAAAGATTCTGAATATATCTGTCAAGTCCATCTGGTCCAGTGTATCATTCAAGGCCATTGTTTCTTTATTGATTTTTTTCCCAGATGATCTTTCCATTTCTGTAAGTGGAGTATTAAAGTCACCTGCAATTACGGCATTCCTATCAATAAGATTGCTTCTGTTTGTGATTAATTGATTTATGTATTTGGGTTCTTTCAAGTTGGGAGTATAAACATTTACAATTGTTAGCTCTTCTTGATGGATAGACCCTGTAATTATGATATAATGCCCTTCTTCATCTTTTGTTACAGCCTTTAGTTTAAAATCTAGTTTGTCTGATATTAGTATGGCTACTCCAGCTTTCTTTTGACTTCCAGTAGCATGATAGATGGTTTCCATCCTCACTTTCAATCAAAAAGTGTCCTCAGGTCTAAAATGGGTCTCTTGTAGACAGCATAAATGGATCTTGTTTTTAAATCTATTCTGATAACATATGTCTTTTGATTGGAGCATTTAGTCTGTTTACATTCAGTGTTATTATTGAAAGATATGGATTTGGTGTCATTGTGTTATGTTTCAGTTTCATGCTTGTGGTGATGTCTCTGGTCCTTTGTAGTCTATGCAGCATTCTACTCACAGAGCCCCCCTTAGGATCTCTTGCAGGGCTGGTTTAGTGGTCATGAACTCCTTCAGTTTTTGTTTGTCTGGGAAAGTCTTTATTTCTCCTTCTATTCTGAATGACAGCCTTTCTGGATAAAGGATTCTTGGCTGCATGTTTTTCCTATTCAGCACATTGAATATTTCCTGCCATTCCCTTCTGGCCTGCCAAGTTTCTGTGGATAGGTCTGCTAGTACCCTGATGTGTCTACCCTTGTAAGTTAAGGCCCATTTGTCCCTAGCTGCTTTCAGAATTCTCTCTTTATCTTTGTAATTTGCTGGTTTCACTATGATATTCCATGGAGAAGATCTATTCTTGTTAAATCGGAAGGGCGTTTTCTGTGCCTTCTGGATTTGGATGTCCATTTTCTTTCCCAGATTAAGGAAGTTCTCAGCTATAATTTCTTCCGGTAAACCTTCTGCCCCCCTCTCTCTCTCTTTTCTTCTTCTGGAGCTCCTATTATACAGATATTATGTTTCATTGAATCACTTAATTCTCCAATTCTCCCCTCATGGTCTAGTATTTTCTTATCTTTTTCTCAGCTTCATCATTTTCCATAATTTTATCTTGTATTTCACTTAATCTCCCCTCTCCCTCCTCTATCCTTGCTATCACTGCATCTAGTTTATTTTGTACCTCATTCACAGCATTTCTTAATTTGTCATGACTATTTCTTAGTTCCTTGATCTCTGCAGTAATAGATTCTCTGCTGTCTTCTATGCTTTTTCAAGCCCAGCAATTAATCTTATGACTATTATTCTAAATTTTTGCTCAGTTATATTGTTTATATCTGTTTTGAGCAATTCTCTAGCTGTCACTTCTTCCTGGAATTTCTTTTGAGGAGAATTCTTCTGTTTCATAATATTAACTAGTTTTCTGTCCCTTTTGTGTTTTAATAGTTTGCTATGAGTCCTGCTCCTGCAAGCACTACTATATTAAAAAGGGGTCATAATGCTGTCCAGGGTCTGGCCCTTCAGGAGGTATTTTTGGAGTGTGTTTCATGCTGTCTGTTGTTGAGACTCTGGTTGCTTTATCTCCCTACTTGTAGTGG